AAAAAAAAAAAAAAAAAAAAAAAAAATTAGATTATATTATTTAGATTATATGGTGATAATTAGATTATATTATTTAGATCATATGGTGGTACCCAGATTATATGATGGTATTTAGATCATATGGTGATACAGTGATGATACCCAGATTATATGGTGATAATATAATCTAGGGCAAGTGGGATACCACCATGTGATATAATTATATCACATGGTGGTATTCCACTGGTCCAATTTTATGTGAACATTTTTTTTGTTTATAGCTCTCATCAAGCTCTACAAAATAAAAAAAAATCCATATGAATCAGATCACTAGATGCCAAGATAATTGCAAAAAACTAAAAATAGAAAAGGAGCAAATTAGGCTTTTTTTGGCAAAAAGTTAGTTATGAATTATTTAAAAGATATACAGTATAGGGTCCTGGAAAACTACTCCTAAAGAGTTTTGTTAATTCATTATTTCAGTAATTTTTTTACAAATTGAAATTGCAAATAATAAAATTATTTCTAATAAAATATCTCATATTTGGCTTAAAAAATTAGAATTATGATGGGCATGAAAAGAAGATATATTAGAATATTGAAAATTTTTTTTAAAAAAAATGGAAAAGTTTGAATGTTTAATATCAACCTTTATAGGAGAAGATATAATACAAATTAACCCAGAAATTTTTAGTGGTGAACTTTTACATATTCTTATAACTTATGATGAATATTTATTTTACTCTAATGATAATCAGCCAATTGTTTGGGAACCAATTGGTGAACTACTTCTTTATAAAAAAGAATAAGAAAAATCAATTATATTTAGTAAATTTTTATTAGAAATAATTGATAATTAACATTTGAATAAATATTAGCAAATCCAAATATTCTAATAGAAACAAGAAAGTATTTGAAATCTGATAAAAATGAAGATGGGTAGTGAACCTCAAATCATTTGGTAAATCAAATAATTAATTATGTAATTCCAATTTTTAATATTGTTTATCCTAAAGCAATTGCTATAATGGCATTTAATAATAGTACAAACCATGATGCCATACCAGCTGATTGACTGTTCACTAATAAATTTGGGAAATTTGGTGACTAAAAGACTGTCAAATATTTATTTAATTTGACATGACGGACAAATTTAGGGTATTTCATAAATCCGCCGTGATGCTGTATACATGCAAAAAAAAGTTTATTTTTTTTATTCACATCAAAGGTTGATACTTTATAACACAAAACGATTTAGAATTTTTACCAATAAATTAAAATTTGGTATGGTGAAAATATTAACAGTTTATATTTGCTCAATTACAGTATCTAATTATAAAAAATCTGTACGACTGTACCAGACTTACTTTTCTTATACCAAGCTATTTTATAAAAAAATTCGATATATAATATTTATCAACTTAGATTTTAATGGTTAGAACAAAAATACAAAACTGTCGAATTAGAATAGCACCATCAAATTAATATTTCGATTTCCTATATTAGCAATTGATTACTAATAATGATTAACAAAAAAAAATACTTGATTTGTAAGTTGTAACAAAATAAGTTAAAATTTCATACTTTATCGTTATATTTCTAACATTGAAAAAATAATTTTTTTTTTTCTTTTCTTATTTGATTTTTTTATTTGATTTTTTTTTTGATAAAAAAAATGTCATCCGATTTGAAATTAGATAAAGAATTAAAAGATGATGCTGAAATTCGTAACCTTTGGTTAGAGAGCATCCATATCCGAGATCAACAACAAATATTTAAAAAGACCAATGAATTTTATGATTTTATTATTGTTGGAGCTGGAACTGCAGGATGTGTATTAGCGAGAGAATTGATTTATAATATCCCCAACATTAATATTTTGGTATTAGAAGCTGGTCCACCAAATACGCAAGTTAATGATATAATGCGTTCACCATGTGGTTTTCCTTCGGTATGTTTCGTTGTTTTGATATTATGAAGTTAATTGTTCATAAAATCCTTTCATTGATGATTTAATATAACAGGTTTATCGAACAAGTGAAACAGATTGGGGATATTCTACAGAAGATCAAAAAATGCCCAGTATTGTTGATCCTACTAAAGAAGTATTGAATAAAGGAATGCCTTATGCACGTGGCAAAGTTATTGGAGGATGCAGCACTATAAATGCAATGGTTTATACGTAAATTTTTTTTCAAGTACTTTACATTCAATCAACAAGAAAAAGAGATTTAAAACAGCTTTCAAATTTATAATACGAAAATTTCAGTTTATATTCTTAATTTTAAATGTTATGATTTCTTTAGACGAGGTCAAAAAGCTGATTACGACCTTTGGGCTGCTCAAGGTCCTGAATATAAAATTTGGGATTATGATCATTGTCTCGAGGGTTAGTATCACATACTGTACATTATATTTTTTTTTTACTTTATTTATGAAAATTCTTTATTTTAAATCTTTTATTTAATAATAGCTTTTAAAGCAGTTGAAAATAATGAGCGTAAAAGTCCTGATGAAGAATTTAAAAAATATCATGGGTTCAATGGTTTACTTAACGTACAAGATAGTTCGGATGATAACTATGATATTTTAAAAGATATTTATAAGATCGCAAAAAATCTTGGAATTCCTTATAATAATGATTTTAATGGCGTTAGACAAAATGGAGTAGGAGAACACCAGGTAAATAAATGCCAAGTTAAAGTTAATTTTAAACTTTAATTTATTAATTAATTTAATATATAGTATACGATGAAAGATGGAAAGCGCTTTTCATTGGCTGATGGTTATTTAACAGATGCATTAAAAAAAGTTGAGACTTATCCCCCTTCAAAACCATTCGAAATAGGGTCTCCTCACGGATTAAGCGATGATGCTGCAAAATTCGTGGCAGTTAATGTTAAATCTTTTGCTCACATGTTAAATATTATTTGGAACGAAGAAAAGAAAGATGAAAATGTTGCAATTGGCGTGAAATATTTTTATGATGGTAGAGTCCACGAATCTTTTATTGCTCCAAAGGGTGAAGTGATTATTTGTGGTGGTGCTATTAATAGTCCTCAGGTAATTTTTTTAAAAAAAAATGAAATGAAATGAAAGATTTTCAATAAAACAATGAACTGATGAAGGTATTTAATAATTTTAAAAGATTTTAATGCTCTCTGGAATTGGACCAAAAAATAATTTAGAAGAAAATAATATCAAAGTTCGTAAAGAATTACCAGTCGGACGTAATTTATTGGAACACCCTTCATGTTGCGTCTCTGCCAAAGTTTCTGTTCCGAATTGTACAAGTGCTTCTCAATTACATTATTCGAGTAATGGTTATGAGCTTGGAATGTTTTATAAAAGTGATATTGATGGAAAAATTCCTAGTCAAGAGCATTTCCTTGATGAACGTCCTAATATTCAATTTTATGGTAAGCTAATATCTGAAATACTAATTTTTTTTTTTTTAAAAAAAAAATATTATTATTATTATAAAATGCTTAATCAATTTATAACTTTGTAGCGAATACAGTTAAACTCGGACTCGCTATTGCTGAACCAGGAAAAAATGAAATTCTTACTTTGTTATCGGTTCTTAATCTTCCATCAAGTGTTGGTCATTTAGAATTACGTAGCTCTAATCCATTTATACATCCAAAAATATTTCTTAACCTTTATGAAAAACCTGATGATTTGTATAATATGATGAGCAGTCTTAAACTGTCACGTGAAATACTCAAACAACCTCCATTAAGTACTGTTTGGGGCGTAAAAGAAATTGGATTTGATACAGACAAAGAGATGAGCGATGAAGATTGGGAACAATATATTCGTAAAGTGGTAAGTTTTGATAAATTTGATTAATAAACTAATGGAGCAAATGAATCGAAATTTTACAATGATTTTTTTCTCTCATTCTAGTCAATCACATCATCTCATCCATGTGGTACTGTAAAGATGGCACCAGAATCTCAAGGAGGATGTATTAATCATCGTCTTCAAGTTTATGGAACCAAAAATCTTCGAGTTGTTGATGCTTCAATCTTTCCAACTATTCCGGCTGGTAATCTTAATGCCCCCACTGCTATGGTTGCATGGAAAGCAAGTAGGTTAATTGAAGAGGATTACAAAAATAAAGCTTGATGATAAAGAAAACTCCTCAAGCATTAACATAACCTAGAGATTATGTGATCTTTATAATACAGATGAATGTATCTATTTATCTCTGTCCTTTATCTCATTAATATTATAACTGATTTCTTTAAAAATACGATATTTTTCAAATTCAATGATAAGTTGGATATTATTAATAAACATAATAATCCAAGTTGATATGTCCCGATGCGCGTCTTTAAGTCCACAGATTTCCGTATGCGTTCCTGTCACATGCAGTACAGGACATTCAGTGACGCTTTTCAGAAATTCTTTTCTTAAGGAGAAACAATACTAGAAAAAGAAAAAATGATAACTACGTTAATATTCGAATAGTACATCATTTGTTGAACACAACTCCATTCCGAAACATACCTAATATTTATTTTATGACTATTTCCGAGTCATTTAAACACGAATAAGCAAGATTAAATTAATAAGTAGTATGTAAGGATATAATGATCATTAAAAAAAAAAGTACATACTTTAATATAAATAAAAAAAAAAAAGAAATATTGGTAACTTTATTTTACTTTAAGATATGTGCAAACTGCAAACTTAAGGGAAAACATCAGAATATACTATATAATCCTCCAAATTAACGAGATATTATGAAAGAACGGTACTAAATGAATGGTAAAAAAATTTTACATCGACAAGATTTGTTTTAAGCACTTAAAACCCACAGAATTAATACTGACTTTTTTGAACTGATGCATAAAAATAACATTTTACTCTTAAAGAAATCACGGTAATGAATATGGTATTAATAAATCTCTGCTGTTCTTGTCGGTAAATACTATTCATAAAACTTGATAAATGATAAAATGTTAGACTTCTTAAGTTCCAAAGTACAATACCCTTAATTAATCAAAAACAATGATTTTCTATAAGTAAAATGGGTTCAAATTTTTTGTTTGAGGTGGTAGTGGATATACTGTCTTATATTTAGCCTAAATAAACTAAAAGATATATTATATATGAAGGCCGTCTAATTTTGAAATACATCAAATTCTGTACACAAATCAATTATAAGATATTCGAGATTTCCAGTTCGTTTTTTGAGACGTTTCTATATTTCGCATTTTTCATTGTTCTCTATTTCATTGATTAATACAATATCCTTCTCCAATATTCAGTAGTTAATATTAACCAATGGTATCTAAATCTTTTTCATTGCAAAAATTAAAAAAAAATTTTTCACGATTAGTCTAAACCATACCCTTTTTAAGATATTAAACAGTTAAAGTGACAAAATTTATCAATCGGGTAACTAGGAAACTAGGATTAAGACCAGAGTTGTAGTGAACTGGCGGGGCCATAGCTTCAAAACAGAATATACCCTATTTCGAACAATGACTTTTAAATCGATTTCGCGATAAGTCTCGTGAATAAAAACAACTTCCCTACTAAGCTTTGAAATCCTATTCCATGATATTATATGAACTTACCCAACAATATAGCAAAAAAAATTTTTTATGGGCACTATAAATCACATATAAATAAACACATTCGAAGTATTACACTATGATGTTTTTTATCCAAAAAATATTGGGTTGCAAAAATCAATAAATAAATCTTTCGATAATTTAATTTGTTGGTTAATTATATTGCCTGTTTTTTTTTGTTATGCGTAATACATATTCGCATTTATTTCAATGGAGGGTAGGATCCAGCATAAGAAATTTACTACGAGCTTTAAGTATTAACATTACGAATATTATCGTGCAGTAATTTAATATATTTAATAGATATCTCAGTTTTTAATAATATTGTAAATGTACTAAACAAATTGACAAACTAAGAAATTTGTAAAATATTCTACTACTCTATTCTTAGTGTTTAATGACTCTCTTGAATATATAAAAAGTATAAATATAAAAATTACCTAGTATAAAATAATTATATAAAAGTCAATTTCTTTTATACATATCTTATACGACTTGCATGATATACTTGTATTAAGATTGTTATACCCAATTGCCTTTTCAACGGATTTCCATTCTAACATTCTTTGTATAACATTGTAGAGTATTTTCAATAATTTCAGATCGACATAATCCTAAATCACTAATATATACATATGTTGTGCCCCAAGTTGACGATTGCCCCAAATCAACGATCGGCCTAAATTATCGGCCCATCTTTATAATGCCTTAAGAATTTTCAAAGCATTACCTTTCACATATAGTAATCATCGATGATTATCGTCAATTTGGGGCATATTGAGATTTGGGGCACAAACATATATACTTTATCTACTTTATTTTTTTTCATTTTCTTCATCATTTTCATCTTCTTTATTCTTATGATATAAAATATTGCCATTATGAAAATCACAATGAATAAGCTTTTGCTTACAACATATGTAATTTTTGTTTTCAATTATATTTGACTATTTCTTTTAAATTACTTCTTAAATTTCCTTTGTTTGCATAATCCATTACTATTATATAATTAGAAGTGGGTAAGAGAGTAGCATTATTAGGGTATAGCATCATTAGGTATAGATATAAATGTGTGTCAGGTTGACGGCGCAGTGTGGCGCAGTAATTTCAAAAAAATTCAAGTTAAAGATTTTCTTTTTAATGTAAAGCTTTCAAATTTACACATTAGATGTATTTTCATCTGTTTTACAAATTCACTTATAAATGGAAGGAGGTTTTGGAAATAGATTTTGACTTTAGTATATAACAACCGATTTAATCGTCTTTGTCCAAAATTGGATTTGTCGAAAAAACAGTTTTTGTTAAATAACTCGAAAATGGCCTTCTAAACCACCTATAGTAAATTTGTAGAGCGGACGAAAATACATCTAGTGCAGGAATTTAAAGGTTTATTTTAAATAAAAAAAAATTGCAATTTAATTTTTTTTTTTTTGGAAAAATCGCTGCATCATTATCACAATTTCTTTATTAAAGTTTTATGTTTTAACATTAATTAATTTATGTACAATAATCTAAGTATTATTAAATAAAAATATTTAATAAAATTACAAAAAATTATACATTATAATGTAAAATTTTTAGAGAATTGCGCCTAAATACTAAAGAATGTAAATATTCAAAATACTATCACCTAATAAGATTACAAAATATTACATTTTGAAAAACTACGTCTTGCAAATCTATATAAAATTACATTGATTACATTTTATAAGATTACAAAAATATTATAATACGTAAACCTTCATGGCCTCATAAGCTTATGTAAATCTACGAATAAAAAAATTTTAGAGTTTTACACCATATTTAATTTACTGATGATGTTAATCTATTTTTCCATATATATATATATATATTCCTCTATAGATATCCCAAAATAAAACGGACATATTACTCTTCTTACATTCTGATCTTCAATCTTTGAAAATCATCACGCGTACAATAGACGCAGTGAAATTATTCACATGTCTCGTCACATGACCTAAATCACACTCCTCAATAAATTTGGCGCAGTATATGAGTATATCTTGATATTTGGCACAGTATTATACTGGCGATAAAAAAATCGACTGTTATTGTAATGTATTAAGCAACAAATTTCAGGCGGAATGGAATGTTATGAAAATGAATTAGTATGGATCGGAAATACGTCTACATTGATTATTTTTTTTTTTATATCTCATTGCTAACCTTCGAATTCTTCCTATAAAATCGAAATTACTTCCTCTCAGAAAAGTTCTCTTGCGGGGAATAATCTTTTACATAGTCTATGCGGGTGGGAGTGATATAGATAGACTAAAATTTTGTAGATATGGGTGGGATAAAGTATTTCGGAAATCTGATATTAGTATGAGAAACTTAGTGATAGAAACAAATTAGCTATAGATATTTTCCTAGAAAGTGAGAGAGCAAAGAAATAATTTGATGCTGGGACTCTCATTTATCGCTTAGGTTCCGAGTACTCCCTCCCTCTTTGATAGCATCATTTATTTCCACTCGCTATATATCCATATATCTAAAAAATCATTAAAAGTGTTATTTGAAAAAATTTTTTTTTGGCAAAAGTAAATGAACGGCTATAAACGGAAAAGCCAAAGAGTCACCGCCAAAGTGGCCGTCGTGAACTCTTTGGAGGATAGTAAACTCAGTTTGCTCATCGCCCAAGTGGCCGTCATGAACATACTGGCCTTTTCATCAAAATAAAAAAGCAAGATCTAATTTCTTGACTTTTCATCACAATGACAAGCAAGATCACCGCCCAAGTGGCCGTCGCGATCTGGCTTGAGCAAAGTTCACCTCCCAAAGTCTCGCCGCCCAAGTGGCCGTCGCGAAGTACTCTGTCATTTTCCAGTCTGTCAATTTACTTGAGAAATCACTAGAAATATTTTGGCCGCGCAAAGTATATAAGTAAATTGTGTAACCGTTAAGATTTGATGGTTATCATCACGTGAGCAGAGATCGCGTTCGCGCTTCTCTACTTTTGAATGTCAGATTCTAAGCTCGCTAACAAAACCACAGAGAATGTCTACCGGCGTCTGGTCATACTGTGTTGATATTAGTACAGAGAATCCGAAGACTCATGCATACTTTAGTATCGTACAGGCAAGGTTTTGGACCTTCGAACATTACATTAATTGGATATGTGAGAACACTGAGCCTCCTATTTGGACCACATGCATAGAACAATTTTACGAGTCTCTGCGTATTATAAATAAATTCAAATCGGCACCTCTTAGCGTTCGAGCATATGTGAAAAGTCTCGCGGAAATTATGGATGTAAGTAACAAGATCTATTTATTTGATTTGCTCGTAGAATGCTTATAAAAATATGAATTAGGAAACTGAAAGACAAGATACGATGGAAGCAATTGAGATGACATATCTAGCACTAATAAAAGAACGACAGGGCAAAAATCTTAGCAAGGTTCGTGGTTGTTAACATCTATTGGTACGATCTAAATGGAAAACTTACGCGTGTAGCTTGCAATCCAAATAGAACTTGTTACATGCACAAACGAACAAAAAGGCTTATGATTATGCCATAGGTGTTGTTAGTTCCAAAAGACAAGCGAATAAAAGAAAATATTCCCGTGAGCAGAAAAAGAGAGGATCAGACAATAGTGACGATGAGGAAGCAATGGAAGGATCTGTTCTCTTTGGTGAATCAAATGATGAAATTGGTGGTTCAGGAAGCCAAAGGTATTTCTTTAAAGACCATATGAGATTTTTCTGATGGTCATACCTAATTTTAATTCATTCATATAAAGTTTCTCTAATGCAAGATCAGCGGTGCACACGACTTTTTCTAGACACGAACCAAATGAGAACATTTACAAGAAAAATCAGGATAATGGATACCAACTTCAAGACGAAGAGAATCACAAGAATGCTATAGCTGGTGGTACGTTGCAAATGAATAGCTTGTGCTACAAGTTCACCATAAGGCTGACACAGTTGCTTGAATTCGGGTGATGATTCTCAAAAAGTGGCGGAATCAATGATTGGCAAAGTGGAAAGAACAGCACTGATGGTAGACGATGTCAATTTGGAGGAAACTTTCGGAGATTACTGTAATGAATGCGATAATATCTTTGAGTGAGTAGAGTTGTACCTGTGGTTTATACGAACTTAAAAATAGGTAGACTTACTTGTTATTATCACCTTTTATTAGCTTATGTCATAGTGACATAATGGATCTTCGACCTGCTTCAAAATTCACAGAAAAAATTCCTGAAGTAATCTGGGAGAAATTCGTGACAAACACATATCCGGAATACAAAATATCTGAAACATGGGAAAAATTAATACAGGATACCTTCAAGGTATGTTACAAAATCTGGAAAAAGATGAATTGTTTTTAAGCTAATTTTTATTATTCGTTGATGTCCAAATAGCAAAGAGAGTCATTGGCAGAATGGATAGAGGTCTGGCGCGGACTTTATGCAATTTCCGATAAAAACGAAAGCAGAGATCCGGTGATACTGATGATAAAGGATGCGATATATAATATTCTTGCCCCATAGTATGTTTAAACTTTATGATCCTTTTTATGCTTTCAGTCCATTATGTTAATATTTCTATTTTATTTTTTTAGTATTGAAGCTTTCAAATCACCATACAATATATTAAAATCAGGCGAACTTGGAGAAAATCAGTATAACTCACAATTTGTGAGTCCAATACTGAATAATACGCTTAAAGCTATCCTTGATATCAACTGGAGAATGTAAGTGAATTCAATTATCCTTTCTGAGAATATTCATCGGCAGTGATTAATTAACATTATGACATTACACTGTTATAGCCTTGAAGTCCCTGTTGAAAGTAGCAAGCACCGACGTAATGCTAAAATAAACCCAATTATTGACAAAGTCTTGGAAGCAAAACGTGTAGATGGTCTTGCCCGTCTCTGGCAAAGTCATGAAGAAGTGTTCATTTATGAACAGACAGGACCGCCAGATTTCGATGATGTTACTCAACTTTTCATCCATGATTACAAGTTAGTTCGGACCATGAGGGATGTACTCAATCAGAGAATTATTCTTCATCTTAGAGATGGAATATCGGATCATAAAGATCTAGCAAGCTTTGGTGCATTTGGCCATCGCACCGAGGTATCTTTATTTTGGTGTACAATGCACCAAAAATCATATTGTCTTCAGGAATACGGAAGTTTTCAAATTCCTGCAATTTGGCAGGATCTTCCTGTACTAGCCGAAGCAATTATAACCTGCCTAAAATTTTTTGTGAGTATTATGAAGTTTACATAATTCTACTCTTTCGCTATTTTTTCTAATGATTGTTTTACATTTAGTCCTTTATGAAAGAAAATGTCGAAAAGGTCAAGTTATATACTGACCAAAAAAATAAGTTATTTGCCAAGCGGAAAGTTCATATAGTAAAGGAGAATCCACCAACGCCAAATCGGCCTAAAAAGCAAAAGTGAGAGTCGTTAAAAGCTGTCTAAAATTGAGCGACTTAAATTCTAAATAAATATCAAAATTTTAATTAAGTTTACCTCCCGTATGCGGTATGATGTGGGGTGTGTACTGGGAAAAGTGTATATGTAATGTATCTGTTTATGCGATAATTTTTCTTGGCAAAGTGATTGGCGTTCCGAAACGAAACGCACACGTGATTTTTCATCGGACTAAGATTTTTTTTCCCAGATGTATCTATTCCAGAGTAAGTTATTGTATTATTACTGCTTTTCGGACATGAACGAAGCGGGTGCATATATGTATATTTTTTTTCAGTCAAATCACATTCCTCAGCTCTATTAACTCAAAATGATACAGCATCAGGTGTGTAATTGCCGAAATCTCAGTGTTTTATTGGCTAAAGAAAAAATCCGAAATCTGATTAATAGATGATAGCCGGATTTGTTGTCAGGTTACACGTTATCTGTGCACATGATCCGAACGATTATTTTCGGTAATTATAAAACCTTTCTTTTACGAAATATTTTCCAAAAGATTGCTAACATGTCATATCAACAACAAAATAAGGTTTATAAAGGGTGTCATTATACTAGAGAAAGTTGGGGATTTTTTATATTATTTTGAAAAATGTTGCAAACGCTAAAATAATATTATAAGATCACATTCACAGAAAATCTGCGACAATTAGTTATGCAGGATATAACAGAAACCATATATAATTCCTTAACCTCTTATAAATAATACTAATAAACTTTATGTTATCAAATTGGGGTTATATAGTATCTCTTATATCAGTTACATATGGGTGTACATAGTATGTATAATAATATTTTATATTTGTAATGTATAATAACAAACTATTTAGTTTTAATTATATTTACAAACAAAATACATGATCTATTACAGCGAAAGTAAGTAAAATGTAGTGTCTTAATAGTTTATTATAATAAATAATAAAATTAAAAGTACATAAAATAACTTATAACATTTTTTTGCCAATAAAAAAATACATCACGATAAAATAAAATTACCAAAAATTAATTTCACAAAATTGTTTTTTAGTTAACGGACTAAGTTATATATATTTTATTCTAGGGTAGCGTAAATTTAGTTAATATAAATTTGTATAACTAATCAATAAATAAAATAAATAATATTACCGAAAATAATCGTCCGGATCATGAGCGCAGATCATGTGTAACCTAGCAACAAATCCGGCTACCATAAATCCTTGGTATGTGAATCCGATATTTTATTATAATATATTGATAAAGAATCGCTAGAATTTACTAAAAACACTATAAATCAATAAAATCGCTGTGTATAACTCTATAAACTGCTAAGATTTGTTAAATGGCTATAACTATCATGTCTTCTAAGCATTCACAATCTGGTTTTGAGGGTACTTATGAGGAATATGTTGAGTATACTAGTTGCACCACATTATGCACATTATGGTGAAACTTGGAAAAATAGGATTTGGAATCGCCTAATGTATTTTCAGAATAAAAAATATTATACATATGATGAGAAAGATTACTTTTGTGTTGCCAAGTCGTATCTTATTGATGGAAACATATAGTATAAGTTAAAATTGATTTATGTTTTATTTGAATAAAAAAAAAAAAAATTGATTATACAAGGGTATATTCATTTCAAGCGTTATTATGTAATAAATTAAGTACTTTTATTAACATGAAAGATAAAGCTGCGGTCCGGTGGAATTTCATATCTCCCATTTCTTAATAATACTTTTGATATGACAAAAATAATCAAAATGACACGCTTCTTCAATGTTTATATTCTTTATAAACGCAAGTAACAAACTCTAAACATCAAAACATCAATTATAGCAATTTATTTAATCCCCTGTCGCACTCATATCATATTATTGATTAGCTGAGTTTATAAATGACCGGAAATCTTCGTTTACATTTCTCGGTCATATAGAAAGCCGAATTTTTAGTTTAAAATAGTTAAATAGTTCAAAATAGTTAATATTTAATTCAAGATTTATTTCATGGGAAGGGAATCTCTATTATTCCCAACTCCCCCCATGAAATAAATAATACAGGCTTTATAGACTAGGTTTAGGCTATATGGTATAGCGGACAATATGTACAAATTGTCATGCAATTTAATTAAATAAAGCGTTCATATAGGAAGGATAAAGATTAATACAATTTTGTACAATTTTGCTAAAATTCTTGTATTTTGCGACCAGAACTTTCTATAATTTTAAAGATTAATTATATGCAATTATCCCTTGGTTTCTAATAATAATTCATTCTTGTTATTTGTATTTAAAAAGTTGGATAAAAAATCTATCAATTTAGAATAATAAATCTATCATTAGAATATATATTAAAAAATTTTATGGTCGAAACCGCGATATATAGTACATACAGAATAAGTTATTTCTGGAGTTTTCACGGCGCAGCCGTGAAATTCAATGAAATCCACAGTTTCCCATGAAATAACTATTACATATTTATTATATATGAAGAAAATGCATTTTTTGAGATACAATCAAAAATTAATAATATAATGATTTAATCAAAAAATCCAATATAAAAATTTATCTAAGAACTGAGAAGATATAAAAAGTGTTCGTTGTAAAATATTTTAGTTTCTATATTTAACTTTAACTGATAATCTATGTAATACGCTCATGCCAAGAGATGTAGTTTTTAAAGGAGATTCCATATCTACTAAATCTATTTCATATTTTCTAAATAATAAAGCCATCAAACCAACCAATTCTATCATTGCTAACTTTCTTCCTGGGCATAATCTTGGCCCTCCACCAAACATTATGAAAGAATATTTCTTTGGTTCAAATTCTTCATCCATCCATCTGTCAGGATTAAATTTATCGGCATCTTCCCAGTGGTCTTTATTTCCATGAACAGAATCAGCATTAATTCGAAAATAGCTACCAGCTGGCCATTGGTATCCTGCTATTTCTTCAGGTTGATCAATAACTCTTCCGAACGCATGAAAAATTGGGAAGATGCGAGCAACTTCTTTTATAATCGCTTCACAGTATTTTAAGCTACGAAGATCATCTTCGGTAACCGGTCTCGTTTTATCACCCTGAAATCTTCTATCAATTTCTTCATACATTTTCATTTTCGCATCTGGATTATGTGCAAGAAAATAGACAATGAATGAAATCATGTTCGCAGTCTATATTTAAAGGATAAAATGTTAAAATGATTTCAAGTATAAAGTGATAAAGAAAAAAAACAAAAAATTGAAAAAATATACTCACAGTATCAGTTCCAGCAAGAAACCCGTCAAGCATAATGAAACTAATTTCTTCATCAGTCATAGGTCTTAGAATTTCACCACCAATAGTTTTGACTCTATTAAAATCACGAGGTGTACTAGCAGTAACCACCGATGTTAACATATCACTGGGTAAGGGTTTATCTAATGGCGTATTTTCAATCTCTTTTCTCCGTTTCTTAATAATAGCATCCAGTCTTTTATTAAGATATTTCACATTTTGAATTGTATCATCCGATATATTTTTAAAATATGGAACGTAATGTCGTAAGAAAGGAGGAACTAATTCAAACCATGGAAGCCTCGTATTATATTTACGAATTGCACTAACTAATTTTACGGAATCTTCAACAATTGCTAACGGATGTTCAGTTTTTTCATCACTGAGATTATTAAAAAGTGCTGCCATTGAATAGGATCTTTCACCAGTTATTAATTCAATAATCATATCATTTGTAAATTGATTAAACCATGAAAAGAAGTCAAATATATTTTTATTATCTTTGATAATTTCATCATTAAGATATAATTTGTCCCAATAACTTTCCAATTCATTAAAGAGCGTGTTTGTCCATTCAATAGCTCTTTGATTAAATTTTGGTGCTAAAAAAGCTTGTGTAAAAAATTGGCGATTATATCTCCATGGTTTATAATGTTGATTCACCACTATTCCTTTTCCGGTTATTCCTAAATCATCAAAGACATCAGCACGAGGCGTTCTCATAATTTTTAAATTTTTTGTTGAAGGGATTAAAAATTTTTCAATATAATCTGCTCGACCTAGACTTGTACTACGTTGTGGCAAATAAACGTCGATTATATCACCATATTTCTTGTGGTTTAAATCTAAATAATTTTTGAGATTTCCATGATGCCACACTAATTGAGGCAAATTTCCAACGAATGGAAATGGGAAAGGACCAGGTAAAGGATTGATACGAGTAAAATATTTATAATAATAGTGTGTCACAGAAACAATTAGTAAAGTACATATCAAGGAAAGGTAATCGTTTATTTCCAAATTATAAAATAACTTAATAAGCATTTTTATGAAAAATAAAGGGGTGAATAAAGGGGTGAATTTTAAAAGAGTGAATAAAAGAGCGAATAAAAGAGTGAATTTTATGATATAATCGAGTATTGATGTTAGCTTTTAGGGAATTAAGACTTGAGAAATACGAGGAAGTATTTATATTGTTCCATTCTTGATCATCCTATAAGGTATTGTCAAGTCTACGGTAATATAATTTCCGTTCTTATTGTATATAATAAATAACGTTCGATCACCACGCCATTTCTTCTTTAATACCAATGAGACGTATAGTCTATTAATAATAAATAAAAGTTTGTTCAACAATTCAAGTCGCGCTAGGACCTTTTCCTTCTTTTTTTAAAATATCAATGATTGTATTACAAACAAATCAATGCTTACAAAAAATTACGTAAATCGAGATCTAATGTTCCACCACTCTGCAGATCATGTGGCAACTGTTATCTTGCAATCGTTAAGGAAAAATTTAATTTGACATTCGTAGTTTAGCATAGCAATGTTTGGATCTTTAATCAACAGGCAGACATGCTTATCGCTTAATTATACTACTTATAAAAGTTGGTCAATAAAGCTTGGATTTGGATAAAAAAAAATCATATAAAGACTGATAAATTAAATGACAGAAGACGAATATGCATAGCAGAAATTTATAGATCACACATAATCTATGAAAAAAATAATACACTATTTGTGCTCATAATACAGGTTTTTACTTGTAGAGAATTTAGCTAATTTAAAAATATGAAATTTTTCATTGAAGTATATATAACGGCACGTTGTGATATGATCAGCACGTGTCCGACCATATTGTATATTAATAGATCGGCAAAGTAAAATAATAAAATTTTTTTGATATATTTGGTAACTACTGAATCAGATAATTCCGAAGATCGACATATTAAAAAACATTAAAAGAATCATTAAGTTGCAATAAACAGTTCATCAAACAAGTTTCATTGGTTTCATTGCATTAATAAGCGATCATTTCGTTAGAAGTTTTAGTGATGGTATTTTACATCTTTAAGATGCGATCATCAATTTCAACTGATAAACATTTTAAATCGATGAAAGCTTCTTAAAAATCTTTAAGAAGAATTTTCAATCAAATATTTTTGATAAATCAGATAATTTTAAGTACAACTATAAAACTGTACGAATCACATTCTTGTTACATGAAAATAACTATAAATCATCATATGATTTCGCTGAGTAATTCAATTTAGAAACTGTTGACGTAATACTTTATGTAAATAATTATAATTGATTACAAGGATCAAAATGGCATATATATGGAATTATTTCCGGAAGCGAACGTAAATTTTACTCTCATCATACAAACATAACTTTCTTTAAGTGTGAAACAAGGAGCTGAAACTTAAGTAAATGTTAACGATGGCAATTAGTTTTATAAAATATTAAAATATTTTGTTCTATGCAGACAAAAGAAAGATATGTATTGTTTCTAAGACTCAGTTGCAGATCTCACTTATTATGTTTAAAAAAATTGGTACTGCTTTGTTATTTGGATGGTTGGCAACTCCATAATGATCAGGCATAAATGGTGACGATTAGAGTTTTATTTATGCAAGTAATCGATTTATGACAAAATCAGAGTCGATATTTTATGTTTAAAATATATATTTAAAATATTTTAATAATGTACTTAATTGCCGATCTTGCTAATAAGAGTGACGGGTAGTTTATTATATTATTAAAAAAAATGTTTCTAAATGTGAAATTTTTTTACTATAAAGTTGACCTCACAAATGTTAAAAAGACGCCAGCTTACACAAACCTTTTAAGTGTAGGTATTATAGATCTATGGAATCGTCTATTTATGCGAGTTAGTTATATGCTTAATAACCTTTCAACAATAAAAATTTTCTGAAGCCAGGTTTTCAATGTACAGTATATTCAGGCTTGGCAGTAAAATTGATAATTGTTGATGTCTCATTTTTTCCATTATTCTTTGTATTGAAAAATTTTTAGTTGTAATAATAACAAATCTTAGTAATAATTCATTAAATGAAATTGATTTACCCAAAATATTGTCTTTTGGAATTTATTTTGAATTAAGAAATAATAGAATAATGTCCGAAGTCTAATAGATATACACCAAAAGCAGACAGTATCATATTTATTTGGAATTAAAATATGTTAGCTCAAGAAAAATTATGTACATTAGAGAGTAAATAGTCAAAAATTCAAAAAAATTTTGACAGACATGTAAAATCATGTAAGATTATTGACATCTTCTATTGTTGAATTTCCATTTATATTACAAAAGACTTTATATTTTACAAGAAAAAAATTACAAGCATGGCAAGAAATATTTTACTGCTTACTAAATGTACCACTTTTTTTTCAAAAAAGGAATCACATTGAATTCTGGAGTAAAGTTTCAAATCCATATATCAGTTTGGTTAATTATAATGATAACCAAAGCTTTGATGTTTTATTTCCTTCAGTTTAGAAAATACATATAAAAGATTAAATTATAATAAAAAATAAAAATTAACTTTATTAATTTACTAATTATTGTTGTTGTTATAAATATGATATTTATTTCCTTTAGATTAAAAGCTTGATTAAATTGGTAACAACATGTATTAGCTAATATTATTACAGCCCACTTTCTAAAATATTAGTTAATATATTATACTATCATTATAATAAAAAGTAAAAACTACTTTTAACTAATTTTACTACAGTTTGATCTCCATATAATCACCTATTTGATTCCTTCAAAATTGGTGATTATATAGAGGAAGGAATTTTTAAATTTAACCAATCAAAATTAAATTTTAGCTAAAATTATAGATATATTGACATTCTCCAAAAATTTTAAAATGAAAAAATAAATAGAAAAGTTCAAATTTTTTTAATTAAATTAATTAATAAAAACGTTTTGCACCGTTTTTATTAAATTATCAAAAAAAATGTTACAAAATATTTTTTTAAATAAATTAACTAAAAAAAAAGTTTCATAACATTTTTAATTAATTATCAAAAAAATGTCACAAAACGTTTAGCAAATCAGTTTGGTAAATTTACTAAAATAATCAGTAAAATTTACTGAAATAATTGGTAAAATTTATCAAAACTGATACTGAAAATATTGATTCAGTAAATTGATTCAGTAAATTACATACAAAACTAATACTGAAACTGAAGTTACTGAAATTGGTTGATAAATTTACTAAAAAGTTAGTTTAGTAAATTAGAATACCAAAACTGATCAGTTTAGTTCAGTAATTACCAAAACTAAATGAAGGTCTAATAATTAATATTAAAATCTAGAAAGATATTAAAAAATTATAGAATAATGTCTAAACTATAAATTATAAATACTTTTCATAATATATTTTAATTATAGTAAAAGATTAAAGTAATATTTACTAAAATTATAAGTTAAAAGTTAAAACACTATATTAAAATAAATTCTATTCAGATTTATTATACCACCAATACTACTGTTAATCTGATAAGATTTTTTCATAATCCAAAACAGTCAAATTTTTTGAATTAACATATATTAAATAAATAATTTGAGTTTGTAAAGTATTTTCTTTTTTTGCAAATTCTTTAATTTATACAGTTATATTAAATCTTAAAATTTAATTATCAAATTTTTCCAAATTTTAATTTCATCAATCTTTTCTCATAAAATAATATGAAAAGATGCTGAAATGGGATTTACAAAAAAGAATAGAATTTCCATAAAATCCTATACTAAAATAAACTATAAGCAATTGAACAATTGGATTCAATTTATTGGACGTATCAGAAATTACGCAATTTAGTAGATAGATAAAGAGTCAGATCTTGCAATTAGATGTTATAATATATCTTTTAATGGTTATAATATATCTTTTATAGTAAATAATATATAATTTAATAAATTTATTTATTAAGAAGCTTTTTTGCAATTATTTTACCATCTAAAAATCCAATTTCAATGAATTTGTTTTTGTTTTATAAAGTATAAAGAAAGCTACAAAATTAAAAAAATTTATGCAAATTGGATTATTAAATACTAGTAAACTAATTGTATTATAATATATATATATTTTAATATATAGCCAAACCTTGATATAGCGAACCCTTGATATAGTGAATTTTTCAGACAACTATAATAAATTTCCTCTTGCTATAACAAATTAACCAATTAA